AGGGAGGCAGACGGGCTTTCTCCTACCTGACTGCCACCAACAGCCACCCACATACTCTGCCTTACCCACAGACATTTCCTCCCCTCCCCACCCCTTGGGATAACACAGCTCAAGCTGTGGTTGCTGCAGTGCAAGCAGCCTGGGGCTCGTTCAATCATTGGTACGTGAACTCTTTACTAATCCAGCTACAGATTCCCTTGCTCCTTCTTCCCTGGGGTTAATAAAGCAGCAACATTTCCTCTGAAACTTCCCTCCCAGATGATCAGCTCGTGCCTCGCATCAGTATTGCAAGCCCCAGAGCTGGCTGTCCACCAGCCCACTTAGGAATGATAACAGGGCCTACCACTGTCTGATGTAGTACTGCTGGCATGAGTGGAATTCTGCCAGAGATGACTTGACTCTGCCTATGGGCACGGATGCCAAACAGCTCCCAGGAGGTTCCTCAACTTGAGAGGGCACCCTGTTCTCCCCTCATTCTGAGGACCTTGCTTGCAGGCAGTTCATGCAGTGCCCAGCTGTTGTCCAGATGTTGTGTTTTCCTCTGCATAAGAGCTTGGTACTATTGTTAACTTAACTTATTTAGTCTTTAAGGCTCTTTGGGCCACCCTCGTTTGGTGGCCGATGGTGTTACCGGCACCCGGCTGGTCGCCGGGCAGGTCTTGTTTGGAGCAGCTGTTCACAAAAAAATTCTTCAGGGGCCGCCACTCTACCTGCGTAAGGCGGCTGGGCTCCCGGCATTAAACAAACATTACGGGGGACAACTTATAAGAAAACAGGGCTTGGTATTGCCCTGGTATTTCTGCAGTGCCAGCTATCTCATCAACCCCTTCACTGCCACACTCACAAGCCAACAGCAGTTTCACTAGAAGAGCCACTCCAATGAATGGAATGCTGCTGGGTGACTGCACACTCATTATCACTCACTTGCTCTGCCAGCCTGCTGTGATCTCCTGTGACTACTGCAAATAACCCCCTGTTTTCATGGGGAGGGAAGTACCATGTTACTGTTCCCTGGAACTGCAAGTATAAACCTGGAAGTTGGGAGACATGGATTTTGGTCCTGGCTCTGTCACTGACTCAGGGAGCAGGTCTTTACCACACCTCTCTGTGCCGTGGGAAATAGGAGTAATAGATCTCTTTTGCTTCTCAGGTGGTTGTGATGCTGAACTAGTACACGGAGAGTGCTTTTGAGATCCACAGTGCATGGCTACTATAGCCCTGTAAAGCAACATTATTTTACAGGACGGGGAAGTTAAATGATTTCCCCAATGTCACCCAGAGCTATAACTAACACCCAGGAACTGGGCTTGGTTAGTCCCAAGTCAGTCCACACACACACACACACACACCGTGTTACTGCGCAGTAAGGTGTCTACACATGCATTACTGTGCAGTAACTAATTGGGCAAAAATGTGATGCCTGCATGATGCAGGTATCAAATTTATGCTCAAGTCAGTATGTGCGTGTAGACACATGCCTGTACTGCGCAGTAATTTTGGTTGCTGTACAGTAAATGCACACGTGTAGACGTGCCCACAGTGTAACTTAGAATCCAGTAGTCCTAATGTGGAAATCCCTGCTCTAATCACTGGTCCACACGTTCTTTCAAATTCAAAATCATTCGACAACAAAGTGGAAACATGGCCCCCCAGTGAGAGGTACAGCCATAGGATGGAGACACAAGTGCTGCCAACAAATATAAAAGGGCTGATGTTCTGTACCTGCATCAAGCTGTGATCTGCTCCCATTAGCAATGTGGTTCCTGTCTCCCTAGACAAA